ATACAAAAACTTTTTGTATGCTGTCCTGATGAAAGCTCCCAAGTGGAGCTGAAACGTTGACTTATGGAGTAAAGTATTTTTTTGGCTTATTTACAAATCCTGGGAGTGCTGATTATTTATCTGTCTTGTATCTATTGTGCAATCGAGCACCGGGTTCCAATTTTTGTTCGGTAGGAGTGCAAGGCTTTTTGTTTGCTGTTTATATATATATATATATAGTTAATACAATGTTAAACAAAAATCTGCATACCAGTCTAGCCATAAGACTTTCTTTTCCCACAGAAATTCTAAATCTGCAGTGATGTTACAACTACAAATGATTCTGGGTGGGCATATGCAAATTAGTTTAACAAAGAATCACATTTTTGCCTCTTTCCATTTTATACATGGATTCCTTTTGAACTGTGTTTGCAGTATACAACTTCTTGGAACACAATTTAGGAAAAGATGCAAAACCAGTGAACCGTTCATGGACAGCTGTTTCTTTGTTAATGCAACTCATCAGCATGAGGTTGGTTATTGGTTTGCTTATTGAGGCTTGGTAGTGCTTGGGAAGCAAAATCCAAATAGCTTATGGTGGGGAAAAATTGTGATTGAAAACCCCTTCCAGTCTGTGGATGGTTAATACAATGTTAAACCTCTGAACAGTGGGTGGGAGCCCTAACTTAGAATAGGGGGGGGGGGACCTATTGTCCTCAGCCCTAGCCCCTACCCTGAGCGGTGGGTGGGGGCCCTAAATACCAATAAGGGGGGGGACCTAAAATCCATCTTCACCCATGTAGGGCCCCGCGCAGACTGAGCTCTGCAGGGTGGGGGGAGGCTTATGAAGCCTTTCCCCACCCTGCAATTAGGCTCAGAGCATTCTGCTTGGTTTATGCCATCCAATCAGAGTGCTCTGACAGGTAAATGAAGAGACTGACAGGTAAGTCTCTACATTTACCTGTCACAGCACTCTGATTGGTTAGCTTGAAATCCAGCCAATCAGAGTGCTCTGCGTCATTTTACACAGCGTGGGAAAGTTCTTTTGAATTTTCCTATGCTGTGTAATTTGACTCATAACTCTCTGATTGGTTACTTTCAAATAACCAATCAGAGTGTTGTTATGAGTCAAATTTAAAATGCCAAAGTGCGACGGTTATTATGGATTTTTATTTGGCCTTTTTTGGGGTTGAAAAAAGAAGATTTTAGAAAAAAGAAGACATCAAATGGTAAGTTTTATAAATTTTACAGGTACCTAGTTATTGGTCCTCCCTCATTATTTTTAGGGTGAGGGGGTAGGTAGGGGTTAATTATTTTTTGGGAGAGGGGGTGACTAGGGGTTTGGGGACCCCTAGTCACCTGGGGGATTACATTTTTATTTAGGGCCACCACCTGCCGCTCAGGAGTGGGGGCCGGGGGGGAAGAACAATATTCTAATTTAGGGCTCCCACCCGCCGCTCAGGAATCAAATATTCCTCCAAACAGCCGAACACGCTTACTCCATATGAATAATCCCTCCAAAGACGAGACACAGCTCCTTATTGAGGGTCAGCAGGAATCTGTTTAATGAGGGCTACATGCCTGGCTTTTATGCAAGTCCCTCACACGGTGGACACTCCCCTCGGGGACCGAATGGGGAACTGTGACAAGGACAATGTATTAGCCAATCACAGAAGACATAATAAGCCATTCCTCTTTTCTTGCCCAGAACCCCCTGCTCTGCCCGGGAAGATAATTGTGAAGTAATTCAATTATCTCCCAGGACAGAGCCTAAACGTCATTTTAAGGACTAATAACAAAAGAACATAAAAATACCTACAATTACATAACTGTTGCATTTTACATGATTTTATAGGCATTCCACAGGTCCCCAGATAGCTAGGATCTGAGCGCACCAAAGTACCGAATAGTGCTCAGATCCTATACACACAGTCCAATCGCCGTGGAGCCAAAGTGTTCACACAGTCAGTTTTCATACGAATGGGCTCCACGGGATTCCTATCTGGGGTACAGTGTATTCTGTTTAAATCTACCAAATATAGAGTCATTAGTGCCAATCTACCGAACAAGAAGGGAGGTCCGCGGCTTCAGCGGTGTACGTGCCAAAATGTGTCAGTTTTTAGTTCCATGAGTTAGGCGTCGAACACCGCTGTGCGTCCGTATGTTTTAAAATGGCCACGACCTCATGTTCGGCATTTGAATGGCGGCCACCCAACTGCTGTATCAATTACGAGGTGTCTGCGGTTAAGCCTCAACGTTAGAATGGGGCCAAGAGGTTAACCAGCAGCACACTCCCCTACTGGGTGGCCGGCCGTTCGGTAGTTTTGTTCGGTCATAAACAGGGGAATGCCATAGAGTCCACAGGAACGAGAAAAACTATTAAATAAGGGAACAAGCCAAACGGTTGATTCAGTCCAGGACAGAGGGATCTGTCACAAGACCAATTTAGGTCTTTCAGCCTTTTAGTAGATAGCTCCCTAATACCGTGGGAATTAGGGAGTTATCTACTTATTTATTCCTGTCATTCCTTTGATTGGCTAAGTAACTTACATTTTATATGAATGTGTGTTACTTGATTGTTGTAAGTGTTGCAAATGCTTAAAGCTGAATCCTGGCTATGGTTGTATACTTTTTATTTAAACTTGTATACAGTGTAACATTCTTCCACTGGGTAGATATATTAGTACTTCGACAATACTATGCTTCGGAACTTCGGAAATTCAGCATGACATTCGGAACTAAACAAATTGCACATGTCTACCACTTACCAATTTTCAAAATCAAAATTTGCAATAAACACAATTTCTCTCATTCAGCTCTACTAGCTGGCTTTTTCTCCCTCCCTCTGCCTGCTAATTGACCAGCTATAGGTGAGTGTCAATTAGTTCACATCTCTGGAACTCTTAAGTTAAATCCAAGTTCTTGTCCGTTACAGAGCAACTAGTGCTGTTGGAGCACTGGCCCACCCTTCTCTCTAAATGCTCCACCCTAGGGACCCATACAGTGTTTTGCAGAGTATCAGCAATGTATTTTGTAAACTTAACATCTAACTGAAAAATCTTGGGCTGCTATTTAGCAAAGCAGGCCTTCAACCACTATTCCACATTTTCGCTCACAATTCCCCCACCACCCCCACCCCCAGCTCATACCTATGGGTTTGAGCGACCATGAAAATCAGAGAGTGTACCCTGGAAAGCCCATCAGCATTTCCTTGTTTGTAAACTCACAAACCATCTGGTTACTCTGGAGTTATTTTCTTTGTTCTGATACATCCATGTCAGAGGTGCACTGTCCGTTATCAATCGGAAATTTCTGCCTAACAGATAGTATTTAACCCCTTAGTGACCAGACTGTTTTTCAATTATCTTAACGTTAAGGACCAGGGCTATTTTTACATTTCT